ATAGATAGATAGATAGATAGATAGATAGATCAGTGCTCTCTTTTCACATTACTCTCATTGGTCAGTCATTATATCTGCGACCAACTTAAAATCACTGAGAATCTGTAACAGCTTCAACTTCATATTTTATTTTTACACCAGCTGTCACCTCAAAAATTTGAATTTCCTGAAAAAGTTTTAAATTATTTTTTTCAGTCAGTTCAGAAAGTGTAATTTAGAAATGTGATCCGAGTCGTTTGAACAGCTCCTTTCAATGAATGATAAGTTTATTTCTTAATTTGTAATATCTTTATTGTTTTCTCCTTAACCACAGAGACAATCACCCCTCCTTCACGTTTTAACAGAAAACAGGGCAGAGTACCGCAGCTCCGGGGTAAAGGGGGAGGCAGGTTCTGCTTGACAAAACACATGGTTCTTCTAACGTGACATAATTCTCTACGTGMTGACGTCACTCGTTCAAAATCAAACGGCTCTATTGAACAGTTCAAAGGAACATGTCGTCAAGATACGGATCCCTTCAAAGAGCCATTCATATCACAGTTAAACTCATTTAGTACATCAATTCAGTACAGATGCAGTGAAAAATGTCAAGCTTTTATTTCTTTTAATTTTGRTGATTATGGCTATYCTGGTWAAAAAAAAAAYAGCCCCTTGTTYTACTCTTTGCTTCATACAGAYAGTCTGAACTCTCTGCTATTCAGAAATGATTTCTTGCTGGAGGTGTGGACTGTTAAAGTTTAAAATKATTSGATCAGATTTATCCAATCTCTAATGTTTGTCTGTGACGTATGCAGTGCACCAGCTCAACTGTGAAGGAAGCTAAGCTAAGAAGCTAACCAGAAATAGCGTGTGCTGTAAACAACCATCCCCTACTGACAGAGCCGGCTCATGGCATAGGAGAACTTGGCGGTYGCCTAGAGGTATCAGTTTTAACAGGTGAGAGCAAATTGGTTTTGTTTTTCCTCCTTGATGCACAATTAAAATAAAATCATTCCTCACAAACACATCAGGTACAAAAATGACCGATTTTCTTTTTTTCATGGTGAGAACGTCTGGAGTCAACAAATGTCTCCAACAGCTGATTAACTTTAACAAACACAGAAATGCAATTTTGATGAAATACTGATCACTTTAAAAGCTTACAGGAATGTCTGGATCACAGGAGGAATATTATAAAGGCATAATGAATAAACAACGAAACAATGTGATGTCATAAAAAGAGTTGTTGAAAGATTAAAAATTAGTCAAAACGTCCAAATCTGGGATACAATTAACTCCAAGTTCCTATTCAGTCTAACAAAGTTTTTAAATTTAATATTTCACACTACAGTTGTCTAAAAAAAGAGGACATTTACAAATTTAACATTATTTTTATGCAGCAGCTTTCCACTTTAATTAAATTCTGTGACAAGAACCATAACGCAAACTGGAAAAAAACCCTGAGATGATGCAAGCAGACATCCCAGTCCAAACACCTGCCAGCAGCATTAAATTAGTGAAGACTCAACGTCAGTTTAAATATGAAACACCAGACATTTGAGGCTGTTTATCTTAGGAGTTGGCAAGGAAGAGGTTAAGAAAAAGGTTGAAGAAAGGTGTTAGCTTTTCTACACTTTATCTTAAATAATGCGGGTTTAACCAGAAGGGCGAAGCGTTCTGTGCTCAGCTT